CAGTTACGAGTAGGTATCCGGTAAGTAAGGGATTATCAGTAACAGTCCTGAAAAACTTGTTTATCCTACTTTTTGTTTGGGTAGTAGTGTTGCGCTGTTTAATATCCTCAGTTTTGTAGTCAAAACATGTATTTGTGTATTTTTACTCTTAGGGTAAATGTGAATTTCTAGTTAGGTAACTATGTACTTTATACGAACTGATTCTTTCTTCATGTACTATACCCTTATATGCAATCTTTTTTTATATATTACCACCATTGAATTAACTACTTCTATGAATCCAGTGTTGATCTTGTTGTGCTAGTTAGGTATGTCAACTTGGACCGATGCATATATGTGCCTGGTCCTACGTTGTAGCTGACTGACTGAACTATGTACTAAAGTTCGGTATTCTTAATGTTCTACTGACGTCAGACTCTTCTTAGTACGTTATTGTCTACTAATTTGTTCGCCAGATAACTTTTCGCCTAATGGTTGGAAATTTTTATGCATGCACATAGTCGTTCAGAAGCAAAGCATCTACTTATTGCAAACTTATTCAGATTTTTTTAATTCCATAAATAGTTGTAGAAGGGGAGTGTCACGAAAGTTTAAATTTGCTATGAAAGTTGTCATAGCATTCAGCCACTGTGATGTGACTACAGTTTACTTGTCAGTTAACAAAAAAGCAGTAAAGTGTGGAAGACAGTTGCAAAGTAGTCTCAATTATTTTTTTATTATTGCAAAAATAATGGTCTAATGAATATGCTTTCTTGAAAATAATCAAGCCAACGATAGAAGTTCGACCTATCTTTTGATTAATCGAATCTTTGAATTTTAAATATCATTTCATATTTTGAAATATAATTAAAGGAAACATAAGCGTAAACTCTTGGCTGAATGGCTGTTGGTTCTCATGCAGCAGTTTATTAGTTCTAGTTGTAGTATGACAAAATGTATTACAGTAATAAGTTAAATATATTGTATTCCTGGGTTCAATAGTTAACGGACACCTATTAAGTAGTTGAATGCTCTTATTTTTCTGAAAAAATAACTGCGCTCTCAAACAGGATTGGCTGTTGTCATCACTTAAGCTTACTTCTTTTTAACCTTACTTTCGTCGTTTCTAAGTTTGCAAATTTTATGTACTTTTTTTCTAACCACTTGTATAGAAATGCTGCTGTTTCTACTGTCAAACAAGAGTTACGTTATTGTGCTACAGAACAGGGAAAACTGTTAGAGATGCGTTATCTACTGGCTAATGGACTAGCTTATCCATGTTTAATTTTTATGCAGTCTCGAGATAGAGCCAATGAAATTCTTAAGGAAATTCTTTTGTCTGATGCAGATATTCTTGCGAATGTTATTTCAAGTGACAAAACAGAAGCACAAGTATGTGTACATTTTTAGGGAGAGATTTTTATGTTAAAGTTTATTTTCCTGCTTGGTGATGACTACAGTAGCAGTGTAGTGTGTGCTATTTGTGCTGACAGATATAAGTAGTATGTAGCCGCAATAGGAAATGGAATGCCTGGCAGCAGCATATTGAAATAACGAGAAGAGGAGGAAATCGCCGAGCAATCGAAATAACAACAGAATTAGAGGAATAGTGGAGTATGTAAAGGACAATGCAAAGAAGCTGTGCGAACGACGTATTTAATGTATGATTTTCATATTTTACAAAGATGCTGTGTGATTTTACATTAAATAGTTTTCGTTCACTACAGTAGTAGTCACAAAATATTCATTACAATGTGAAATTATTAAAAAGATCCTTTTTGAAAGTTCATGCTCTATAGTTTGGTTTATTCATGGTTTTATTTGGTTATACAGTTTCTATTTGTTATATAAGAACTTAAAGTATCATGTGATAGTTAGACCTAATGTCTTATCTAGCCACCTTGAAAAAGTACAACTGCACACTTAGAAGCAAATATAACTAAATGCCACTCAGTCATATATTTATAGACGAGTTACTTAGTAATTGGGGGAATTTAATTTTCTGTAGACTTTATATTTGTTTATTCACAGTTGATTTTAGTTTGTGACGAACAGTTTATCACTTCTGCATATATTCTATTTGGTTTCTTGCTTTATCACTGATCCTTATTAACATGTTTAGGTATCCTTTGAATAAAAGTAATGTAAAATACTGTTCGCCGTCAACTCAACCACTCACCGAAGAAGAAGGTTGTCATAGTAAGAAAATGTGTATAGCATTAAGTAGAGACAAACACTATCACAATATCTCTGTGTATAAATGATAAATGACTTTGGACAAGTTAAATGTGAAGAATCACTATAATATGTCCTATTAACTTTATCTGGTATACATTTACGTACTCAACTTTGAGTCGCATATTTTTACAAGGCGCGTTGACACTACTTGACTATCCAGACCAAAATATATCGAGGGAGCGGCGTCGAACTTGCGAACTAACGATTGGAAGTCCAGTGCCTTGACAATTTAGCAACTTCCATGACGGAAAATTAGCACGATAAATTGCATATTGATGGTATAAAAGTTATAGTTCTATCAAAGGTTATTCAACACGTGAGCCAATGTAATGGTTATCATTTGTTAATTTTTGGCTACTTAATAGATTCGATGAAGCTTTTCTTTTTTTTAAAGCGTGCCAGTGTGATTCGCGCTTTCCGTGAGGGACAGCTTCATGTTCTTATTTGTACGGATCTATTGGGTCGTGGAATAGACTTTAAAGTATGTTTTTGAAATTAAACTGATTGATTTACGTTTTTTATGTGAACTCTATCAGAAAGACTAATCATATATAATCTTTTTTACCTTTATGTCATTTTGACCCTCGATTAATGGTAGTATAATCGCCTTATATTTGATTACAGTAAAGAGTTCTCACCATCATGTGTTAAATGTATACTAGAAGAAACTGCATGTGCTCGATATATCCCCTTGAAGCATCATTAGCATGTAACGATGCAGAACATTTCTACTTGGGGATTAGTTGAGGTTTATTAATTGCACAGCATTTCAATGGACCGCTTATGTTTATGGCAATAAATATACAAAGTATGAACGGATAGAACGTATGCTGGTCTAACGTGAAGCTTCCTAAGTTGTGTCTTTGAATGTCCCCAGTCTATGAATTCACTTCTTTCAGAATCTTGTTAATGAGTCCACATTTCGATGATCCGCTTTTGGATAATGCTTAGTTATAAGCCATTCCGAATTCTATATCGTTCAAAGCTGCCTTATATTCTTAAATAAACAACCGCTGATAAGACGCGCGACATACTTTCTACCTGAATCAATGGAGGAAAACGGTCTAGGGCGAACACGTTGAAATCCATAGACGTCAGCATTTTGCTCCAAATTATTATTACCATCAGGATGGACCACTGTATTGTTTTTTTTACACGGCTTTTGCGTTTAATACTTGCATTAACGTTACTCTCAATACATTTTATTTTCACTCACTCAACGGCAAACATAATGGCAACACTTAAAATCCATTAGAATCAAATGTTGATTGCTCATTATGTGTTGTGCATTTATTTAAGTTGTTCTGCTTTATATTTTGACATCAATTATTCCTGTTCTTAATTGGTAGTCAATACTATAGAGAAGCACTCTTGAAAGGATGAATCTACAGTGTACATAAATGAAAGTTTACTACTCAGTTGTGTTAATTATGATGTGTGCTTCGAGTACCAACACCTATAGTTTCACTGTTCTCATATCTTTAATTGTCTAAATATTTACAGAATTTTTAAATATATTTTATGGTTACTAGGGTGTCAGTATGGTAGTCAATTACGATGTTCCTCCGCTAAAACAAGAATATATACATCGCGTCGGTCGAACTGGCCGAGCTGGTCACCATGGACGGGCTATTACCTTGTGGACTGATTCTGATCTCCCGCATATGGATGGGATATTATCTGTGATGAAAAGAAGTGGTTCTGAAGTCGATGAAGAACTCGAAAGACTTGTGAATGAATGGAAGAAACGGCGGATAAATCTTATGTGTAAGCAATCAAGGGCTGACAGGAAACAACTTCTAGACAGTTCGATTAGTCGTCGGCGTGGTGAAAGACGCCTTGCTTATAAGGTGCTTAAAGACTGCAACAAAGAAAAGAATGCAGAAAATGTTGATATTCACGATAAGTAAGTGTACTCAGTTTTTTCGTTCCTTCAGTTTTACCTAATACACTGTCAAGTAAAAAAGAAAGCACTGGATTCTCTTTTAAGCAGTTGAACAAAACTAGATAGAACAACATATGTAACCGAACAATATTGTTTTCGATTAGATCCTCATCAGGCTTTACTCCAATATACAATAATATTTATATGCAAATACGGAATTGTTAAATATTACTGTATATTAGAGTAAAGCCTGATGAGGATCTTATCGAAAACATTATTATTCGCTGATATATGTTCTAAAACTAGATAGCTCAAATTAATCCATAGTAGATGACTATAATTTACAAAAGAACACTTTTGGTCTTCTGTACAGAAATCTTTCGCGAATTGGTGGTTTTTATGTCAGACTCAATGACATTTAAATAAGTCACAAACTTGGACCTATACGTTTTGTATTTCACTTAAAGTATTTACCAATTGTGAGCCTCGAACCGTTATGCAAATAGATGACGTAATTAGTCACCCTCATCAAACCCGTATGGTGTAACGAAGGGTACTGACCACCTGGTTTCCGGAAATTTGTTAACTGTTACGTGGTTATACATTTTTAATAATCATTGCAATAAGTATTTCGATTATGATGGAATATCCTTATTGTTCACCTCTTGCGATGTCTGTGTAGTATTAGTTGATCCAATAATTACGGTCAAATATTTTGTATCATTGTGTCATTAATAATAATATGTTTCTCTTTCTCTCTCTCTCTCTCTCTATATATATATATATATATATATATATATATATTGTTTTTGTTTCAGGAGCTCGTGGTTTAGGCCATGGAATCCTTACAGAGGTCGTATAAGTGAAGTACCCGGTGCGCTAAGCAAAAAACGCAAGATTGAATAGTATATTTGTAATATGAAATTAATTTCCTTAATCATCCTATTCAAAGATAAATTTTCCATAAACTACATTATTTTCATGCATGAAAAGATGAGAGAACATGACAAAGTTCAAAAATTTGTCGATGAGTTATGGGAGAAAACAAGGGAGTTACGTAGTACAAATAAATAGTTTATAAAGACTTGGTAACATGCCTTACGACATTATAACTAATTTTTGTGAATAGGATCTATCTGAATGAAAGGATGAAATAAGTTTGAAGTAATCTACTTCACAATGTAATCACAGATCGAATTAAAGGCTTCCCAAAACGTAATTCTTCAGAAAGTATACGTTCCATTTCTTCTTTGTAAGTGTAGCTTGGGGGAACCCAACAATATTTCTTTCGTTTTTTGTGAGGTGTAGATTTGTTCTTTACATGTTCATCAGTTGTGGATTCGTTATCTACAGATGCACTTGTATTTTGAATTTCATTGATTTGGGTATCTTCATCCTCGTTACTATGTTCACAACCAGTAGAGGTTCCAATAATAGTATTACTAACACCATTTAAAAAGCGGCAAAAATCGATTCGTAGATAAGGTGGATTACTGTTGTGGTTTTCTGTTGCAGTCTCGTCAGAACCTCCAGTTTCTGCATCTCTATTTAAAAAGCAAAGGTTAGAATTATTCATAAGTTAAGTCAACTAAGCACATGGATTTCTGCCAACTATTCATTTTATCCATAAAAATATTTCAGTGAATAAGATCAACCTTGAAGAATAGTGTATATTTACTAGGAAGTTGTTGTATTTGTATTTCCAGTGTAGATTCTCAGTTTGATGGTAGGTTGTAACCTATCTTAAGCTAATTCAGACAAGCTGAAAATTAAATGAGTGGTGTGAGTCCGAAAACGACATTACTTTATTCCGTGGAGGTTCAAAAGACTCAATGAATCTTATTCATAAAATGTATGAGTACGGTAACAAAAACCAGCGGGTATATCGCATTATAGGTACCAAGACAAAGGGATCAGATTATCAGGTGATGGACAGACATTCGAACGACTAGGTTAATACTTTAATGTCTTATTCAAGTACATGAAAATGAGTGAAACACGAAACTAAATGGGCGTTGTGTTTTGATGCAAGGTAAGGTGTGAAAATGACTAGTCGCATTTAATGTCGAGGGGTCAAAACATGCTTCCTACTCACTATGATCTATTCTCATAACGATTACCTAAGATAATTCAAATAGAATAGTTCAGCATGAGCGATTTGACTTTTAAAGTTCCCTGTAAGTTGTTTATTTATCTATTACTTACTTACTGGAGCCTGGTAGAGTAGCAGAGGGCCACCCACCAACATTCCTTAACAAACTCTGTCCTAGGAAATCCTTCCCAGTTGCTATTCATTTTTTTTTATATCCGCCTTTAATTCCCGACGCAATATATCCCTTGGTTTTCGTCTTTACATTTTCCCGTCAGGACTGAGTATCTTGCGTAGGTAATTGTTTAAATATACTTGTACTTTTTTAATGACGGTTGTGGTAGTTCCCGAAGCTTCGGCTCCGTACACTAGAACTGTCTCGACGTTCGTATGGGAGATTCTGACCTTAGTGTTGGCTGACATTTGTTTTAAGTTCCATATGTTCTTCAACTGTAGGAGTGCTGCCCTTACGTCTGAATCAGATCCTCTTTTTTCGTCGATGATGCTGATCACGTACGTGGAAATTCCCACATCTTCCAGAGCTTCTCAATCAAGTGTGATTGGATTGGTGTTCTCTGTGTTGTCTTTGGAGATCTTGGTTTGTCCCTTATGCATGTTGAGGCTTACTGTTGAAGAGGCTGCTGCTACACCAGTTGTCTTCACCTGCATCTGTTGGTGTATATGGGATAGAAGAGCTGGGTCATCTGCGAACTCTGTTGAAAAATTTCCTGGTACTGATAGTAGTGTGATTCCTCTGTAATTCCAGTAACCCTAGAAGAACTACAGGCGGAGTTCTATGTATCTTCGGTCGAGCAAATGTTTTATTAAAAATAGCTGCTGAACGAAAGCAGCTTTTAGTTAGTTTATCTCATTAAACTACAGGATATATTTACTAAAAACTGGTCATAACTGTGAATGATTATTTAAGAAAGTACTACTCACTTACAAAGCTTCATCTCCAGTTGTATCATTTTGCACATCATTTGAATTTGTTCTGTTTGAGTTGGTATCTTCAGTATGTGAATTTTGATTTGAAACTTGTGATCTGTCGTGGCCTATCTCAGCGTGATTTATCAAATAGTGCCTGTACATTCCCAAAAGGAAGTGTAAAGAAAAGCATGTAAGCATTATTCAAATTTACTACAAGTGGTTCATATAAATAAACACATGCACGATATATCATTTACAAAACTAAATTTTCATTCAACAAGAAAATATTGTTAAATAATAATTCATGCTAACCTTGGTAGTGTCAATGAATTTCATCCAACTTTTGTTTCAAATGCTCCACTAATATTCCTATTTCGGATTTCACTACCTATTGAATTTGGGATTTTTTTTTATTATCAGTATAATCGATTTAAATTTGAACCGAAAATCGATTACAAATCCAGTTAATACGTGACACCAAACACGCTATGCTGTAGTGTATAGTCGTGTACAAACTTGTGAACTTGATGACTCGGTACATATATTTTTGAGGGTTAATAAAAATAAATGACCATTTATGTTTTGTTAGATAAGTTTAAATTTGAACTGCATCCTTTCAATATGTATAAACTTTTGATATCCATCGTACATTACAATAATCTCAATAACTATTCTGAATCTAATGTAGGAGAACGACGCTAACAGTACAATAATGAACAGCGGTTCCGAAATACTGACGTATGGTAACTTGTTACCCTTGATTTATTTTGAATCGAACTAGTGAATGAATGACTGTTCTATCATGAGGTCTACTTCTTGCGTGTAACGTATTCAAAATAATAAACCGTAATTATTCAGGGAGTTTTTTCGAAAGAAAAATCAAATGTTTTGTAGATTTATCACAATACACTTAAATCTGATCGTACACCCAATAAATACGAAACTCCGCATTTCCAAAACATCATACACATAAAAACCACATGTTTAGGTTAGACGAACAATAAGATAAAGATTCAAACAGTAAGATATTTCTTGTTTAGAAACAGATAAATTCAGTTTTATAGATCATAATTCTGTTTCTTTAGTGAGCTAAAAATAATCCCAAGAAAGTAATACACTCGAAGCTACTGAAAAAATAGGTAGTTCTACGTCGTTAATAAAATTTATAAACCATATTTTTAATAATGAACGTCGGATTTGAGTTTATTCATTGAAGGACGAGGTGCCAAATTTGGTTAGGTGTGTAATTGGATACAATTATTGCAATTTTCTTTCTATATTTCTACAGCGAAAAACTTCTGTTATATTTGTTCTTGATACACATACCCATCCCCTCAACTGGGGTATGGTCAACTAACCGTAGCTGCTATGTTAATGTAGTAGTCGGGTCCATTTAGTCAAATATCATGGGAGCTACATATATCTTAAATATACTAACCATCAAATAAAGAAGAGCGGATGGGACGAAAGCGACAAATGTAATTCTTAATGACAAGCTAATATTGATAGCTGAAGCGGGATATATCTGCTAAAAGCCATACAATGTCGATAAGCACAATCCTCAATCATACAACTTTACTGTTAAATGGATGAAAATACGTCATCCACGAATACTATGGTATCCAGTCAGTTCCAAAGAAACTTTGCTTTAGGGGGTAGGAAAACAATTTTAGATCAATAAAAGCCATCCACTTAGCAAATTCGGTTTTTAGCTTTTAGAAAAAAAGTCATACGTTAGCAATATATGAAGCAAGAAAAATAGCTGTAAACATTTTTGTTTAAAAGTACATAGGATATAATGAGTTAAACGAGAAAAATCAAACTATGTCAAAAAAGTTCTTATAAGATACAAAATTTTTATCAATCTCCTTATATATTATTCTTTCTCTCTCAGGGAAACGCAAAATGCTTATAATAAAATTCGATTCATTTTAAACATTCCACCTCTTGTCAAATTTAGTATTGCTATAAAAAGATAGTGCGTAAGGACAAATGCAACACATACAGATAGGCTAAACGTCTATGATTACCATGCATATAACCAAATATGCATTTAGAAAAAAGAGTAAAATATCATGCAAATAATAAAGAAAATTGTATTAATTAACAGAGGTTTATAAAAATTAATTTTCAATAAATATGTACGCGTATATACAGAAATTCGAATCACAAACGTATGTTACACGATATTTTATGACATTCATGTTATACTAGTAGGTAACCAGATTCTACTGGAGAGTTTTGTCGGTTCTATCAATAGGATGAATCAACAGCGTGTTGGTCTGGTAGTCTTCAATAGTAATTGACAAGAAACCCTATACGACCTAGGGATCGTAAGTGTTGTTATAAACTGCTAAAAAAGAAAACCTCAATAGTTGAAATCATGAGTCAATTGAAGCTAGATCACCATGGAAACACTGGACGGCCGTTTCGTCCTAGTATGGGACTCCTCGAGATTCGAATCCAGGACCTACCAGTCTCACGCGCGAGCGCTTAACCCCTTCCGATAAAGAGGAAGACGCTAAAAAATGTTATACTTTCTCGAAAATTAGAACCTATTGCTGTCTAATCTGTAGACAAAATGTTTTATCTAAATAATGTCATTGACTATTTGTCAATGATTGATATCATGTTCTCTTGACTTAGTATTAAGATTTTTAACACCATATACTTCTGAACTCTAAATTACGCTAGTGAAATTAAGTTATTACACACAGAATATTTAAATGTATTGAAAATGGCTTATTTACAGCTTCAAGAAATCCTCTTGGGATTATTTCATTAGATGATTTAAACTGTAATTGATTATACTTACTGTAAACAGAAATCTTATGTATCATAAAAGGGATGGATTATATAAAAACATAAATATATGAATTGGTAATATGAGTAAGGAAATATGGCGCAGGATTAACAATGAATCCATAATATTAACTAATGTAGTAGTCAATCCATGAAATGTTAATGATAAGAACCATAACTAATATTTAACAATATCTCCAAGAGGAAATGCAATGTTATGATCAGATTTTAAACAAACAAACACTATGAAAGTGATGGCTTCACTCTCGCGTAAAAAACTTTCAGACCATTTTAAAGCATGTATGTACGCATGAAGTGACCTCCTTAATCGAGATGGGATTAAGAAATACTAGTGAAAACTTTTCTTAGAAAAGACAAAAAAATACCATGATATATAAACCCAACACTAATTCTTCAAGGTACTAATGTTACCTAGTTTGCAAGTAAGTAATGTATTTGGTACTCGATACGATCATCTGTTGAGAAACAATATACACTTATCATTTTTTTCACTTACATATTCTGTAAAAAGTGATTGAATATTACGTTAAATGATAGATGATATTCGAATATAAAAGTCAGACTGTTTGTATTGGGATTAGAATTATTCTGACAGTGTATTACCCTCTCTTTGAACATAGTGTTAAAATGGAAAATGAATCACAATCAGCATTACGTTCTTTTTATACGGAATAGATGGAATGTGCCCATTATTGGAATCCAGGACGGACGTTTTATCCTAGTTGGGACTCGTCAGTTAGATGTGCCAGTAACCCAAATTTGATGTTCACTCCGGGACTCAAACCCGTTGCACAAGTGAGTGGTTATCCGGACTCAATAGTTAAGTGGATAACGCGGTGGTGTATGAACCAAGTTGTACTGGAATCAAGACCCAGAATGAGCATGAACTTTAGGATGCAGATAAATCCAGCTGACAAGTCCTAAATAGGACGGAATGAGCGCCTTAATTCCAATGTTAACCATATCCCATCTATTCTATATCAACTTGTGTCATGATGGGTATGTCGAGGCAATCCCTACATGTCAAGTTTCAAACAAAAATATCAACAATGGGATCGTCCAAATCATTTCAAATTAACTTCTTCATCTGAAAAAATCGATAACCCATACGAAAAATACGCTCTTCAATTTAAGTTTAGGTCGAAGGATATTCAAATTACGTTTAAATTGGTTTGAATATCATACGGTTGTCCACAAAATATAGAATAACAGTCAATCATACTTTCCAAGGTAAAATGTATACACTTACTTACTTACTTACTTACGCCTGTTACCCCCAATGGAGCATAGGCCGCTGACCAAAATGTATACACTAGTATGTAAATATTTGTTCTCATGAATGTCACCTCAACCTGTAACTAGCAGATCTTACTAATCGAAATGATCGATATTATTCAGGTATGAGTGAACAACTAGAAACGAAATTAAATTATACAACTGCAGTTATAAAGCATTTTGGTTAGCTCGATGAGGATAGCATAAATACATAAATTAGTCATAAACTATTTGTCGTACAATCTATCGCCAAATTCATGTACTATGAGTTCTGACCACTAACCAGATCTTAATTCTACTGCAAACAATGCGCTTTGCAAGTCAAGTTTATGAAACATTTGAATCACATCTCGTTTTTGCTATTCAATCAGAACAGAAGATTGAATATTACTGGCCTACAAATGCACTGAAAACGCCTGAAATTATTACAATCAACATTTCTAGTTTAAGATTATAGCATCAGCATAAAACAGATTGCTACCTATCAAAGTGAATAGATATTTATTTTGAGCAAAAAATGTTTCCATGCCTTAAGAAATACGAATAACAAACTCACAAAAATCGAGCCATTGAGCAGTCTTGTGAACCTGGAATTCTAGGTTGTAACACGCTTTCACCACTTTCCCTACTTGTTCCATCAAGTTCTTCTATGTCAGCATTGTTCATCAAAGTATCAGAATCTTCATTTGTATCACAGCTTGTATTTGCTTCATCATCCCCTTCTTCTTCTACTTCTTCCATATGGCCAAGTATGGGTGGACCATTATGACGAAACTCGATGACATTTCGAAGAAGGCTGCGTATTATGCGAGCAGCTAGTTGTTCCAATGATATCACATTTGCTTTAGGAGCTATAGTTATGAAACGATGTGTATATTTATTAGACGTTTATTTAAATTTATGAAACAAGTAAACTAGTAACATGCGACAACAAATTTCTTTAAATATATTGAACGTGCATAACTAGTCAACGAGATAACCGCGAAATCTATTTTTAAAAAATTATATGAATTTAACACGCCAATAGATGATGAGCTATATGCTAAATAAAAAAACTTATGACTCCAAGACAGTATCTGTTAAAAATTACAAATATTTGGAAAAGACCTATCACGAACAACGTATACACAAGCTCTTCCGTGTTTAAGAACCTAGAAAACAAGCAAATGAAATCAGAACCTAGTACTTCCACACTAATCACTTACTTTACTTACACCGTTTAGCCCTCGTGAAGGAGAATAAGCCACAACTTCCAGAGCTTCTCGATCAAGTGTGATTCGATTGGTGTTCTCTGTGTTGTATTTAGAGATCTTGGTTTATCCCTTACGTACTTTGAGGCTTACTGCTGCAGAAGCTGCTGCTACACCAGTTGTCTTCACCTGCATCTGTTGGTGTATATGGGATAATAAAGCTAGGTCATCTGAAAAATCCAAATCGTCTAGCTGCATACAAACTGTCCATTGTATTCCGTGCTCCCCTTGAGATGTGGCGGTTTTCATAGTCCAATCGATCACCATAAGAAAAAAAGGGCGAAATTAATCGACCTTGTCTGACACTGGTCTTCACTTGTAATGCATTTATTAGCTTGCCTCCATGTATGGTGTTGAAGTGTAGTCCGTAGTAAGAATTCCAGATGATGCTGACGATTTTCTCAGGCGTACTTCAGTGCTTCAGGTGGTATGTTGTCAGGTGCCACTGCTTTCCCATTGTTGATTTGTCTGATGGCCATTCTGACTTCCTCGATCGTTGGTAGAGTGACATCTATAGGAAGGTCTGTGTGTGTTGCTTCGATGTCGGGTGGATTTAATGAAGCTGGTCTATTCAAGAGTTCCTCAAAGTTCTCTACCCATCTGTTCCTCTGTTCTTGAATCTCCGTGATTGTCTTGCCTTGTTTATCCTCGACCGGTATTTCTGGTTTACTGTATTTCTCTGCTAGTCTCTTTGTTGTGTCACATAGTTGTTTCATATTACCTTCTCTTGCAGCTTTTTCCACTGTCGTTGCTAGGTCTTCTACGTATTTCTGCTTGTCAGCTCAAATGCTCCTCTTCACTTGCTTGTTTGTTTTTGTGCATTCGGCGTGTGCCCTGACTTTATCTATTCTTGTTCGACTGTTGTTAATCGCTATCTTCTTGTTCTTTCTTTATTGAATCTTATACAGGATTTCGATAGAGATCTGTTCCTTATGATAATGCTTGTTGCCACCCAGCACTTCCTGACACGTTGAAGATAGTGCTTTTTTGATCCCTTTCCGAACGTCTTGTATAATAGTTTATTCTTCTGTGAGTAGATCTCGTTAGACTTGGAACCTGTTGTTGAGAGTTATCTTGAATTGGTTGAGTTTGTTAATATCATGAAGTAAGGCTGTATTAGACCTGCACACTACGGTTACTATAATCGATTGGAACTCGGATAGTTAAGCTTATTTTCCTGAGATATATTTGAATATTTTAAGGTCGCTGACTGAAGGCCGCCAGTGATTCTTTAAGTCTCATTAGCTGCATATTCATTGTTTTCAATGAGAACGATTTATCGATTCGACAAACACGTGAAAATACGAATTCCAATATTTCGTAGCGTTATCATAGCCGTTTGACCTATGTTTAGAAAGGGTTTACCAAATGAGTGGTTCATTTAGTTTGACCAGTTGTAAACAAATATCTATATTTTACCTAAAATAGTGTGAGTTTCTAATAGGAAACTATGCAGAAGTTATTCGATATCTTTATAAAAGCCTAATCATGATAACGTGTAATTAGAAGTTGTGCGATAGGTTTGCTTTACATGAAACAACTACTGAATCACAATGTAGGTCTATAGCTACTACACTACTCTAGAAGAAGAAATGCTATGGTTATTAATAAGTGAAGCGGTGGTTTCACGGTTGGAACTATGAGATATGGATTCAAACCTTTTACCAGCTACAACGATTTAGTCACACAGGATAATCGTCCTACATGCAACAGAATATGTGACTGTTTCAAAAATATATTATTCAAGAACCTTGGCTTTTATACAGAACAACAAAATCCATAGTCTTAAATGTCAACATTTCTGAACACCAGAGCTAACTATTTGTGGTTTACAGCTTTTAGTGTTTTTACATAGGTAACCCCATAGATTTTCACAGACAGACAACAACAAAAAAACTATACAACTTGTGATCTTTGAAGTTTAGTGTCACAAATAAATTCATATGAGAACATCTTTGAGAACCTAGATGTGCTAAACAGCTATTTTATCCTCAACTTTTCCCGTTCAGCTGTCCAACACTTTCAGGTTTTCAATGGTTGTCGAACTTAGATCGGTTCATGAGTTCAATTTATTTACCTTGAATACTGTTATACTAGTTTTCGAACCAGTGTGAGCTTAGTAACCGCAATCCTTTAAGATGACTCGACACAAAGACAAAAAGCAAAATCTGATTGATATATGAAGCTCAACCGTTTATAGATTTGAACTACAACTACTAATACGATTATTCGAACAATGTTCTATAAATTTTGGCTTCGGTAATCAAGAAAACATGACTCGCCGCGTAATAAATAATCCGTAACCAAATACAAAAAACGTGTAGTTTGTTGCTCATTTACATTAGTTAGTTTAATTATTCGCGTTATTGACAAAAATCTGTTGATCAACAATTGTGCATCATACCTACATAAAATCTGACTAATTTCTGTATCGTTAGAATATGACTCCAAAACAACAAGAAACGTATCTAAAAAGGCTGAATTTTCACAGACTATCTGAAAATACTTACGCGATTCGACTTGTTTCTCTGAACCTATTCTCGATGGAAGAAGAGTTGCAAAGCTAACTGACATCAATTCCGATGCAGTTATTTTATTTTCCTCTATCCGTTTGATCTTCATAAACTGAAATATTTTTTACAAAAATATGAAGATAAAGGTTAAATAGATGACATAAAAAGTTTTTTTCCGTTTGAGCAATTTCGGATTTGAACTTTTTAAATTTATTTTTGCTATACTGTTTTCTTAGCGATTATAAAAATATGCGGTACTAATTTTACTAATAATAATGGCATCAACCTATACAGTACTTTACAATCTTCAAGTACACCCAGATTATGTTCACATTTAAAGTACAATGGAATTAAAGAATTAGATAGTTTATATATTTCCTTGCTCTCACATGTCCATGACATGCGTTTTCAAGTCATTAAACAATCGCAAGGTTGTGTACTTATTTATTTATCTGAGCACATAAATATTGGTACAAAGTAGCACCAGTTACATATGCGCCACACTAAAATGGATTTGAGTTGCCTGGATTTTAATTGCAGCACGAACAGTATTTCCAGTCATCATTGTCATTTTATTTTATTTGTGTGTGGGCTATGATACTGCTCGGGTGCCCAGACTGGAGCAGGTAGTTTCTTTGGAGGATCACACCCGGAGCGTTTGACCTAAAGGTCTGATCCACAAGGCAGTGGAGCAAGGTACGGAGATGCAGTCCCATGGCAACTGGTGACCAACAATTGGTTCATACGCCATTTGTTTCCTTAGGATCCTGGAGCTCATGTGCACCATTGGTTTGGAATCAGGGTTTTCCAACTCCCCAGGGTGGATCCTTCATATCCATCAGCCCGGTTTAAACGCTGAACATTCACTTTTGTCCTCTCGATTTCGTAAACAACACCCCCGCCGCAAGAAGGCAGTGAGTAGTTCTCTGACAGTGGCTGTATACGCGTGACCGTGTGAGAGCATTTAGTGAAGGAAAGCTGACTCTCCCCACCCTCGACCGTACCAGGGCATTTGGGGGCGGTTGTGTATTTAATCTATAGCACTGACTTTTGTGAAAGGCTAGTAATACTAATCATTTTTCTAAACTAAAGTAAGTATCGCAGAATCTGAACTTGCAACATAGTAGATGAAAGTCAAATGCTTTAATCAATAGGCAACCAACTCATTAAGCGAACTAATCTCATACAATGCAAATCAGTTTTTGCTTTAAATAATCACCTGAATTAAATACTAACTCGTTGGAATATATGTTCACAACTTTGTGACTAAGAGCATTCAAAAATTGGAAGGATTATCCTTTCTATTAGAGACTATTAATAATACACGTACCGGAAAAATGCCTTTTATTATACGGATAATTTCGACTATTCATTTCACTAAGAAATTAAATATGCTGCCGCATATATATACAACATTTTTCGGAAAATATATAAGGCACATAATAATCAACCATAATAATAACAAATGATAACTAGTACATTTAAGAAAATGTAAGATGATGGGTCAACTCCGCCTGTAGTACTTCTAGGGTTACTCTCGGTCCCAAGCTCGAGTAAAGAAGGGTTGATAATGTGGTCAGTAACCTCTATCATAAAGACAACAAACTTGCTAAAAACGCTAACCAGAATAAACAAATTAAACCATTCAAACTTTTCCCTGGGAGTTGAACGATTTTCATTAAGAAGAATTATGACGCCTCATGGTGAAAGCCGATATTCTTAGGAAGTTACGAGGTCCATGCTCCTTCCAGCAACCAGAGCAACAATTATTATAGGTACATGGAATGTTCGGACCATGTGCGACACCAGAATGAACAATCAAATAGCTACGGAAATCAAGAGATACAACTTGATGGTTCTCTGGATCAGTGAAACGCATTGGACCCAAACTGAACAGAAAAGATTAACTTCCGGAGAGATGCTGCTGTACTCTGGTCACGAAGAAGAAAATGCTCCGCACAATCAGAGAGTTGCTCTGACGCTGTCCAAAGAAGCACGCAAAGCACTTGTAGGATGGGTGTCTCTCATGGACCCACGATCATCAAAGCACCCTTCAAAACAAACAAGTAAGGAATCACACAGAATGTTATGCACCCACCAATGAGAGCAACTACGACAATAAAATCAGTTCTATGAGAGGCTACAATCGATCATAGAGAAGTGATCAGGAAAGGACCTGACCATCCTGATGGGAGACGGAACGGCAAATTTGGGATGGACAACACCGAATATGAAGATATCATGAGACCATATGGACTGGGAGAGAGAGAGACGAGAATTGTGACCGATTTTTGCAAATTTATGTGCATTCACACTACAGAGAACCAGATCGATCATAAATGCTTCAATGAAAGATTCAGAAGGACAATGGAAAACGTGAGGACCGGGAGACGAGCTAACATAGCTTCACATCACCACCTGATTGTGGCTAAGACGAAACTGAAGCTAAAAAAACACTGGATAACTGAGGAAACAGCATTATAAATGTTCAATACAGCCCTACTTCATGGTATTAACAAACTCAACCAATTCAAGATAACTCTCAACAACAGGTTCCAAGTCTAACGAGATCTACTCACAGAAGAATAAACTATTATACAAGACGTTCGGAAAGGGATCAAAAAAGCACTATCTTCAACGTGTCAGGAAGTGCTGGATGGCAACAAGCATTATCATAAGGAACAGATCTCTATCGAAATCCTGTATAAGATTCAATAAAGAAAGAACAAGAAGATAGCGATTAACAACAGTCGAACAAGAATAGATAAAGTCAGGGCACACGCCGAATGCACAAAAACAAACAAGCAAGTGAAGAGGAGCATTTGAGCTGACAAGCAGAAATACGTAGAAGACCTAGCAACGACAGTGGAAAAAGCTGCAAGAGAAGGTAATATGAAACAACTATGTGACACAACAAAGAGACTAGCAGAGAAATACAGTAAACCAGAAATACCGGTCGAGGATAAACAAGGCAAGACAATCACGGAGATTCAAGAACAGAGGAACAGATGGGTAGAGAACTTTGAGGAACTCTTGAATAGACCAGCTTCATTAAATCCACCCGACATCGAAGCAACACACACAGACCTTCCTATAGATGTCACTCTACCAACGATCGAGGAAGTCAGAATGGCCATCAGACAAATCAACAATGGGAAAGCAGTGGCACCTGACAACATACCACCTGAAGCACTGAAGTACGCCTGAGAAAATCGTCAGCATCATCTGGAATTCTTACTACGGACTACACTTCAACACCATACATGGAGGCAAGCTAATAAATGCATTACAAGTGAAGACCAGTGTCAGACAAGGTCTGATGCATACATAGAGGCAAGGATTGGCAAAGTAAGGGCAGCACTCCTACAGTTGAAGAACATATGGAACTCAAAACAAATGTCAGCCAACACTAAAGTCAGAATCTCCCATACGAACGTCGAGACAGTTCTAGTGTACGGAGCCGAAGCTTCGAGAACTACCACAACCGTCATTATATAAGTACAAGTATATTTAAACAATTACCTACGCAAGATACGCATTGTCGACCGGTCGGATACTATCAGCATCAGCCTACTGTGGGAAAGAACAAACCAACTTCCAGTTGAGGAGGAAATTAGGAATATTTGATGGAGGTAGATGAGACATTCATTGTGGACATCATCAAACTGCATCACGACGTAATCGCTAACTTGGAAGGCCGACGGGATATGGTAAAGAGGAAAACCAAGGAAAACATTGTGTCGGGAATCGGAGGCGGACATCAAAAGAATGAATGGCAACCGGAAAGGATTTCCCAGGATAGAGTTAGTTGGAGAACTCTGGTGTGCAGCCTAAGTTCCTCCACGAGTGTTAACTTACTTATGCCCGTTACCCCTTCTGGAGGAGCATAGGCCGCCCACCAGTACTCTACACCCAGCCCCGTCCTGGACAATCCTTTCCAGCTGCTATTTGTCCTTTTCATGTCTTCCTCCATTTCCCGACGTAGTGTATTCTTTGGCCTTCCTCTTTTCCGTTTCATTTCGGGCTAAGAGGGTTAACAGGCGTAAGTGGTTAAGTATGTTGATTATGGGTCGGTACTCGCTCGTTCTACGAAGCACACGGTTGTCAGAAAACTGTTTAGCTAGTATACTTATCCTATTACAGAGACTAACGACAAACCAATTTAATTAAATTTAGTCTTTTTTGTATTGAGCGAAATAATTAGCCTTTATCTTTCGAAAAAGAATGTCAAAAATGAAATGAAAATAAATTTCGTATTCATCCTGTAGGCAGTCCGCGTAATAAAGAAACATCAGAATAAATCAAGTGGATTTTAAAGAAGCATGATGTGAGAGTTTATTTCTGCACTAGTGATACCGTAAGGAAGACGTTGGCTAAAGTTAAGGACAGCCCACGAAAAGAGTAAAAGGAAGTTGTCTATGAAACTAAACGTCATAAGTGTAATGGAGTATATGTAAGAGAAACTTCAGGCCACTGAATTTGAGCTTGAACAATGTTTGAAATATATTTCATAGCCCGCGATAGATAAGGAGGCTCAAGAATGTTTCTGAAATAATTACCCACCCTCTCGACAGATGTTGATTAACAATTAATTAAATTTATTATTCACCCTGATTATATTACCTTTAGCTTGATTACAACAACAAATGAACGCTTAATTATCCAGCCAAATATGGTGATTTAAATTTAATCCAATCATTTTTGGTGTTCAGCATGACAACTGACTATATGCCTTTTTATTTTACAGACATTTTGACGATTTAAATGCTCATATGTACCGTTAACTTGATGATGGATAAAACAGTTATGATTTCCTTTGTTACAGACAAAGGCTTCACCTAATCACTAAATTTTAATTAACGATAACATGCAAGTACACACACATTCATTTATCATATTATGAACACTTTCCACATCTTAAGATTCTCATTGTTATTACTCTATAAAAAATCAACATTTGTAAACGATTGAATAAGTGTTTGATGTAAATGTTTTTAAACCTTAAATATTCCTCAATAATTTTGATTTTGATTATTACTCTGAAGAAATCCAGACAAACTCGCTGGGCGGAAAGTTGAAACTATTTGAATTTTAATCGGTTAGGTTATTTTAAATACAGTTTGTGCATATAATATCTTCTATATAGCAGACGTCAAATTTCTGTCAAACTACTCGTCTAAAATTTGACCAATATTTGTACAAAAGGTTCTAGTCCTTAGTATTAAAACCACATATCACAACAATCTAGACTTCCTTGAATGTGTGTTGAAAAATGAGATGTATGGCTAAAGGGTTCATCAATTTTTAGCATCGTTAGTTGACCCCGTTCGATGCCGATGATAAAATGTAGCTCTGTAATGAACTTTGTAAATAAACTTTAACTAAATCACGTTAGCGATAACAGTAAAATAAGTCGAATACGAATGTATTTGGGATGCATACATGTCGTGCAGATAGATAGAGAGCGGCGAAACATTGCCAGACAAATCACTAAAATCAGTTTATGTCTCAGCTAATATAGTTCAAAAAGACAAAGAGTAATATAAATGAGCGAACATAAACAAAAACACGTAGGAAACGTACATGGATAGAAGATCCGAGTTAGTTATATGGGAATGCATATAATATAACCTAAAATAATTACACACGTAAAAGTTGGATAAACTCACACAACTTTTTGTATCAGTCTGTAATCTCAACTCAATGTATGACATTAAATTCGATTAATTGGTCTTTATGCTCCGAGTGTATATGGGGTTACTACAGAGGATATGACCGAATACGAAAGTATTTTTGAGCAAGTGGAACGATTAGACAATCTACCATCACTCTCTAAAATGATCAAAAAACTTCAAGTAGCATGGCTGTGAAAATGAAGACTGAACTCAATGAGCATGTAGACATTTTAGAAGTTCTTGAGTTATTTACACACAACTGTCGCCTGAACAAAAATTTAAAGATTATTTCTTACTTTATCTCTATAAGGAACGACTAGAATACCACCGACTTTGAGCAATCGTAGTATGGATTGTAAGTGAAGACGGCTAGTAACGGCAGCTCCCACATATATCCGATCATATACTGGCCAGCGTGGTATGTTTGTATCTGAGGAAGTTAAACAAAGAGGACAATAGTAAAGCTGAACATAGATGAAAATGTACAGGTCTTTTTTAATTTTAAATGGGCTTACAAAATATGTAATGGAGTGATGGCTAAGTGATTAGTGCATTTGATGTTTAGCCACTAGACTATGCTTTAAAACTAGCTCTACCTAATTTATTTAAACAATCAGATAGTGCTATTAGCTTTTTTACATAGTGTAGCTGAAAGCTGATTACATGACCATGTACTTGCTTGTGGAACTACATTTTATAGAAATTTTTAATAAGATAATGATCCGCCGGGAGTGACTATAAACACCTACCTGTTTGATCACATAATGGTTGACTACTATCTGGGTGTATCCAAGGTGGCGATCCAACAATAAACTCTTCTTCCCACTTGATAGGATCAGATTCGCTTTCGTTGTCATTATTATTATTATTATCATTATTAGTAGTATCCAGATCACCATTTTGATAGGTATTTTCGCTTACGCCATGATCATTCCCCTCTACTTCCATTGTAGCGTCCGATGAATGATTTTGGTTTCCTTCTGAAGTCCATATATCTTCAGGATTAATAACACTGTTATCTAAATGAGTATCTAGATTATTTTGAATCATTTCAGAAGGTTGTTGGAAATTATTCAGTCTTTCAACCATAATCGGCTGTTGGACTGAGGGAACGACTAAATCTAAAATATTCCCATGTAGGAATACCGGAGGACAAAAAGATCGTTCGAAAGGTGCATCACATTCAGACAAAAATGTCACCAAGTGTTCACGTGAAAAATTAACGTTGAAATCATTCACCTCAATACCATGATTAACGCCATTGTATCCTACAAAAAAGTGTAAATTTTCGTTTAAAATCTGATTTGGATAAAAAACACAAATTTGTGAACTAAGACATAACTAACATAATACAAGGTCACAAGATAGGCCAATAATAAAAATGATAACAATAAACGTTTTAACTAATTAAATAGATCAAATCAGAAATTTTTTAATTGGAATCCAACAAATTTTAAAAGTATAGGTATCATTACCAAGGTTTGACTTGATAATTTCAAATAAATTGAGCATCAGGTAGATTGTTATAATATTATCCACATTTCACACTATTATCGTACATACAAATTAAGCCCTATTCTTTCTGAGAATAATCTATCCTTTATCACCACAAATGTCACATTTTCTCATCCCTGACTGTACACACATACACAAATTCATATACATGTTACTTATGAATCAACTTGACCGGGATGACATGACATTGACTGGATCAGACCTGTTTTTGACTGATCGCACCTAATATTCTTGATTTGGTTATTTATTCTCTGAAGAAGTGGCTTACACTGAGTCATGAGACGTCAAAAAATCTAATTTTTCTACTCATTGGGATATTACAAATACATTTTTATTTATCGAATAAAAATAGTTCCACGCAAAAACGGCAAAGTAAGGTAATCATTTTGGTTTTTACAAGTCCGTGATACAACGTAAAGGGAATAATGTGAGTAAAATTAAAAATATAGTTGGTGATAAGAACAATATAATCATAGAAAGATGAGGAAAATACAAAACGCAGAAATTGAAGTAAAACTAAGATAATCACGTCCAGTTCTCCATAATTCTATCTAAATTAAATCTGTTGTGTGAATATTAGTGAAATTACGAAAACTCCGTAGTTAAGCAATTAGGGTTCGAAACTGTAATGCATATTTTGAAAGTTAAATATCTAAACTATTCACATGATGGGTCAGGAAAGTCGGTTAAAACTGAGTGAGTTAATAAACAAGACTCAAAAGGTACCACAGAGAAATTGTTTTAAAAAGAACTTACTTTACAAAATAATTGTAGATAGATTTAGTCGTTAATCTCATGCTTGACAGCATAAAGATTATTGATCGACAAAAGATTACAGAAAACTCTTTAGTATTCTAATCTTAAAACTTTAGTTTCCACGTTGCGAGTATATTTGAAAGACTCAATAGTAAACCGATTATTGTCACAAACGTTTAAATTCTGTAAACGGAATACTTAGTTAGAATATAGACTATAGCTAGTCGTTATTTTACTGAAAGTGCAGACAAATGACTTAAATGAAACGTGTTTTTATGTTTTGGGGAATTGTTGTAACTAATTTCTTCAAATAATTATGACTACAGATATAAATCCATTTACGTGCTGTGATTAGCATATCTACAACAGCAGTCATCATTTCTTAAACCAGGCTGGTTAGGTGGGCAAATTTATTGGCACGAGTTAATCTTGATGACCATCAAAAAATGGTGGTTTATTCATCTCAAAGTACAGGGGAAGAGAATCAGTCAGTGGTTCATCAACCATAGACACAGCGTTTTATGTAAAGTAGTTCGACCAGACATCTTATGATGTTAATTAAGCCAACTGAACAATATACATATTAACTAAGTAAACTCTTAAATGAAAAATTACGATAGTACAAAGAAAAGATGTACGTATAGTGATCTCATCTTTCCCGTCAGTTTTTTAAACACAGACGACAAGTTCAACATAGTTTCCGATCACCAATTCTGGGAGACATTTATGTTTTTAATGAACTGATAAGATGAACTTTGCCTACATTAGACAACCCAATATTTTTAAATAAAGTTGCTGCGTTATTGTTGAATAACTCGTTATTTATATTTGATATTTAAGGCTATAAAATCTAGCATAACAGCATTAAAAATAGGCTGTACTACACAAAGTCTAAATAGAATGGTGAGGAAAAAGTATATATGAAACGAAAAAATAAACAAAATATTTAATAAAAACAGTATATGACGGAAGAGGGTTCAAATACAATACAAACGAGAGTTTATAACCTTTCCAGGAACTTCGTTATAAATTTATGAGGCATGTCAGGGAAAATTACGACCCGACTGCCGTTGGTTCCTCTTCCGAGCCTTGTATGATAATGTTTCAAGTCAATCTGTAACCAATATATTTCAATAACTTCTTCGTTAGATGAAGCTTTAAATGGATGAGGATGGAGCCTATGTACGCACTGTTTTTCAAAATCATCCACCTGAACTACAAATCTTCACCATCTCAAATGAATTTATCTTACCACTCATTAAATACAGAAGATTCTGAAAAACGTAAACTTTTTCAGAGACAAAACCTAGATAGATATCCATGTACGTCTAAATAAGTGGATGGGTACACTTGAAGAGGAAACTAGGTAGACAGTTTGTAGAACAAAAGAGGCTGGTATTTATCAAAATATCATTAAACAAGAGGTTATTTCCATATCTTAAATCATTCCTATGAGTAATATTCCACGATATTGGTTTGTTTAATGAGGTTAAATTTAAAGAATTGTTTAATTGGTGACCAATATCCCCATCTACACATATTTCTAATTGGTTACACACGAATTTGTGTAGATTCTACACTTTCCAATCTATGGGAAAACCTTCTACAAGCACCCGTTGCTTGTAGGGTATTGTGCTGCTACCTTGACGTGGTGGTCGGGCTTGCCCATCGTAGTGAACCAATCGAGTTATACTTGCTGGAACAATCGTTCCTCGAGGTCCTATCATGCCAGAAAGGTCGGTTGAAGAGCGGAAAACCCAAGGTCCGAGGGCGAAGTCGTACTGCTGACTGTACAGAGGTGTGACGGCAGTAAGATGTTTCCTTCAGACAGCCAGCATAACAGCGATGCTGCCTTCCCACAAGAAAGAGTGGGGTTAGAATAGGTCGACCCTAAAAATGTACATCTCGCCTTATCCCGCGGATATCCGTCTTCGGTTGTACGTTCCGAACAAGTACGGAGCTAACACGAAAAATGTCATGTGTGACCGACCTCAAGCAGTTGTCCCTTGTGCACTGCAGTCACACTCTCAGGTCACTAAGACTACCCCTAACCCGATTTCTACTTCATGTACCTCCAGAAGAACCCTCCCACAGTGTGAGCAGCCGGGAAGTGATAACCTCCCTCATACCTCTAACAGCACTCAAGACTGACCAGTAGTCAACACACTATATAAAAAAGAAGTTAGGAGAGTATGAATAATGGCATCATGCTGTACATTCATAGCAAACAAGAGCTTCAGGCTAGTGACTAAGATCCAGTAAAATTCTATAAGGATAGCAAACAGGCACATATCAATATTAAAGCCTGACAAAACATATAAACACTTTGAATCTCAAATTCAGATTTCATGTAGAGTAAAAATAACGGTGATGACACATACACACGTAGTAAACTGTTAGTTCTATTCAACCTGCCTGAATACCTATATACGTTAATTTCTATAAACTCATTTAGAGGTTGAAAAAGCTCAATTTTTTATCTTAAAAAACCTACCTAGTAACAAGCCAATGACTGTACTAAGGTATCCTGTTCCACTTCCAACATTTAAAAAGCAATTTCCTGGTTGGATATCGAGGTTTTTGAGAGCTACAATGTAGATGCTGGGTGCTGAAAGATGGAGAGAACCAGACCTCCACGCCATATCCATGTATGCTCGTGGGCTTTTTTCGCTGAAGTAACCCCCTCTGTCGACTAGACGTAGAGCACGCTCAGTCTCTGGGTTTAATGTGAGACCGTTTTGCACCAGTTCGTCAATAAGTGATTGATTATCTCGACCACGACTAACATGCCCACCCATCTTTAATGATAATAATAAACATCGGCAATACTTCAGTCCCAAAAGGTAATCTTTCTTCTGGTTAGTTAAAAGTCTGGAAAAACAATAGGACATATAAGCTGTTTCACTGGAATGTTAAATGCTGGCGAGAATGTCACAACGAAATCAAAGTACAATTTCAACTAATCGCTGTATAGATGCACAACTACGAAAGCTGTTCTTATTTATTCGTTGTTCATTACATTTCCGCCCCAGTAAACAATACGCATTTAAAAATACGGCTAAAACACACTCCTTTATCGACAGATCTTACATTTCTCTACTTCCTATGAATCAATGTACAGTGCTGTGTATCCGAAGGCCCAAGTTTCATCTATTTATTTATCAGGTAGTTAACTATTTAAATCCACCTAATAGATCATGGCTAGTCTTATAATTACAGATAATGCAAATATTTTTCCAAGCCATTACTAGTGCATAGAAAAGTGGTCATTTATTTCCACCTACAGTGTTCATCCTTACATCTTTAGTAGGATAAAAACCTTATTTTCCGGTCTTGCAGATAATCTGTGAGCCTTCTCTTAATAACATTCTCTCAAGTAACACTTCCGTAAGCCGGTTAGTAAAATTTTCAAAATCCACATGGCTTATGCACAGTCACCCTTAATATCACTCGGTATTGTTAAAATGCACTGATTTTGCTGATCTGTTTATATTAGAAGTAAGGTTTAGCAGATTCAAGTCCTATCTTCTAATATGCCTTAAGTAGAAGCCCAGTATTCGATCACCCTATGTTCATATCCAACCAAAATTACTAACTACGGGGCTTGAAATAAAGCCTCAAATCGACTGCGTTTGGCCCAATGTACACCATTAGTTGAACTAGTAGCTAACCAGAGATTAAAAAAGGCAGTAGTGTTATAATGCTAGGAGTGAATCCACAATATATTACATTGTAAAACGGCTGTACATCACAATTATAAAGACATCTCGATGAAGTGACAAGATAGGAACAATATCGCTTGATTGTTTTCAGTTGAATACTGATTACTATTAATGATGGCTTAAAAGGGTGTTTTAGATCCGAATACCTAACGTACATTATCTAATCAATTGGATAAAATTAGATGAAACGATGTAAGTAAACTTCATTTCCATACCAATCAATTAGTCCGCTGCAAGCACGCTGCACAGAAACATATCATCTTAACTTAGACAAATAAGAACTTTAATCGTAGTATTCAACAAACGATGCAGTACAGATGTCCTTTCCAAGTTATTTTTTGTCACTAAACCCAAAATCCTAGAAAATATTTGTGCATCAACTGCGTGAAAACGCCAACAAGGTAATAGACTTTGGATCTAGTAGGACAAGAAACATAACTGTTTATGTACTTTATTTCTAATCATATTCACACAATACATCAACCTAATTGTACAATATTTGGTCAGCAGCCCCGAGCTCCAAATTTTGGGGAAACTTTGGGGAAGCCGCTATAATAAACTTTGGGTAAATTTCACCAAAACCACAAAATTTCCCTTTGGTCCTTGTGAGAGACATTTGACTTCGGGTTTCCCCAAAATACCCCCCAATTCCCCCAAACTTGGGAGATTGAAGCTGATATGAAAAAATCTGTATAAGGATGAACAATGCGCAGCAACGAGAACATAAAGCTAAATATGAACGTAAACTCTTATATTTACTTGCACTGACAAACAAAATAATTATCCTAGGCAAGGTTTAAACGACTGTTGATTTGCGCGCAAGGTCACGATGAAAGAAACCAACAATTTTTAGTTTCAGTCTACAGTAGTAAGGACAAGATGTCAATTGATCCATATTATTGCTTGCAATTTGTATTACTGTGGAGATATACACTCTCTTTGATTATATCAACGAAAATGACTGTATTCCAAAACGGCAGTGATTTAGTACTGCTGTAACCATCTTTGCTTTTGTGTACTTGTTGCATCCAAAAGCATTCTTGATGTAGTTTAATTTCAAGCACTTCGGTCAAGGTTTGAAATTTCGCTAAACTTTGTGTTATGGTATCTTCTTTCTCCTTAACCTGGACACGTGTGATCAAAATGTGTTTAAACCTTAATCTGATTACGATGGTTGGTGGTACTTATTAATGTGAACTGCCAAAGTATCTATTCCCTGTGGAAGAAGAAACGCGATTTGATGAGTGTAAAGGGTGGTTCCATAAGATGTGCACCCGTTTAAGTCTCACCGCACACATAAGACGCTCGAAGCCTAACATAGAGGTAAATAAATAGTAAGTTTTCGACATTGGATGCTGACCATACGTTTTAGTGGACTCATCTAGCTGAAGGCGCTCGGTCATGCATCCGCACCAGATCACGTGTGGTAACGCTGTGCTCAACACCTACCGCAATCGCTAGCCAGATTAGATCAGAGAATTCCGATATATTGGTAATCGCGAAATACACTCTTCCGATCTCCTCGACTCTGTCTTTTGATTTCTCTTGGTGGGTACGCCATATATTAGGTGTTGCTGGTAAAAGCGTTGTTAAACACTGAATAACTGTGCCAGCTTCATTGGTGGGACCGACGTGATCTGGTACACCTAGTTGCAACAGTGAGTCTGTTCCTTTTTGGGATTTTTATATATTATTGCCTTATTTTTTAATATTTATACATTGTGATATTTCTTTTTCCCCCGTGTCTCAGCATATTTATATTTTTCCCTCGCATTCTCGTACTTAATATTTCCCTATGACCGAACAGACTCCTAAGGTATTTAATATTAACACCATCGTTCCAACTCATGCCCTTCTGGCCCGACAACATGGAAGCCTGGTGCTGCTACACAGAAGCCGACTTCCACGAGCACGGCGTGATCGACACACGTGCACAATTCCTCGCTGTAGTCAAGGCACTACCGCGCGAATTCAACAGGTGCGTAACACCTAGTATGTTTACTTGTGATGTTTCTGAACCTTACGAAACCTTAAAACGTTCGATTCTTAAACGCGGAGACCTAACCGATCGACAAAGGTTAGATCAACTCTTTAATAACATAGACCTGCAACACAGTTCTGCGACGGACATGTTGCAAGGGATGAGAGAAGTGATCGGCCTAAGGACTTTCGACGAAGGCCTATTCAAACAACTTTTCTTGTCTAAACTTCCCCAACAGGTGCAAGCGGTTCTGGTCTCGTTTCGGAACAACGCCTTAGACGAACTGGCTGCATCTGCCGACCGCATCTTAGAAATTACGAAACCTACTACCGAGGTATTTTCAGTCAAAGAAAAACCTCAAACGACTCAGAATGATATAACCGAGTTATCTCACACACTCACGCGTTATCTTAGTCTTCGTACCGACCGTAAGAGATCGCGCACCCCACGTAGAAGCATTTCACGTAAGCGATCGGTCTCTAGACCACGAGAGACGGATAACCCCGACTGGTGTTGGTATCATAACCAGTATGGAAAGTCTTCCAGAAATTGCAGAAAACCCTGCAATTTCCCCAACACGAAACCGACTGACTCGAAAGACAACTCGAGAAACTTTCAAGCCGGCACGCGTTAACGGCAACCGTAGCCGGCGAACATAGTCGTCTGTTATACGTCACAGATGTGACAACGAGAGTTCGCTACCTCGTCGACACTGGCGCAGGAGTTAGCAATCTCCCAGCGAATACCAACGACCGGCTTCACGAATCGGCTCTAAACTTACAGGCGGCAAACTGAAAACCTATCGCTACGTATGGCAAAAGGTACGTTTACTTTAACGTGGGTTTACGCAAACCCATCCGCTGGGTCTTCGTTGTTGCAGATGTTTCTATGCAAATCATTGGTATGGACCTTCTACAACACCATAATCTAATCATCGATACGCGCAAACGGAGGCTAGTAGACGGAAACACTAATTTATCTGTTTGCGTAACTTTTTTTCTGGTTGCAGATTATCCCCAGTCACAGTTAAGCATACGATAGACCCACTTCGTCAGCCGCTACTCAATAAGTATCCTGGGATATATCAAACGCAACCAGCAACGTTACATATCACATCACGACTACAGGACCACCTGTAATCTCTAAAGCACGATGACTAGCCCCCGAAAAGCTAAGGTTGGCGAAAAACGAATTCGACCACATGATAGACTTAGGAATCATATGACCGTCAAATAGCCCATATGCATCTCCGTTGCACATGGTCCCTAAAAAGGAAAGCAACGACTAGCGTTCAACTGGTGACTATCGGCGGTTGAATGCGAAAACCACTCCCGATCGTTACCCGTTGCCTCACATTCACGATTTGACAGCTACCTTGAAAGGTACAACTGTCTTTTCGAAAATCGACTTGGTTGAAGCGTATAGCCAAATTCCCATGGCCACTGACGACATACCGAAAACCGCCACCATTACCCCCTTCGGACTCTTTGAATTTTTGCGAATGCCTTTCGGTTTAAGAAACGCTACTCAAACATTCCAAAGACTAATAGACGACGTTTTTCGAGGTCTCAACTTCGCACATGTGTATGTTGACGACTGCCTAATCGCAAGTCCGGACAGAGAATCACATCTCAAGCATCTAGATCTTGTTTTCGAAGGACTACAAAACCATGGCATTACTGTAAACGTTCAGAAATGCCAAATCGGGACCGACTCATTAGACTTTCTAGGACATACTATCGATGCTCAAGGCATTCGACCCCTTAGAACCAAAGTGGCGGCCATTCTGGATTACCCAAAACCGACCACCGTCAAGCAATTACGCACGTTTAACGGCCTTGTAAGTTTCTATAAACGTTTCATACCTAAATGCGCTTTACTCATGAAACCGCTAACCGACCAACTTTGTGGAAATGCGAAATCCATTAATTTGGACGACATCGCACGAAAAGCATTCTCCACAGTTAAGGAACTCATCGCGAAAGCAACAATGCTTGCACATCAGGACACTCAAGCACCCATTAGCATCGCATTAGACGCATCCGACTCAGCGATCGGAGGAGTTTTACGACAATGGGTTAACAACTCCTGGCAACTAATGGCTTTTTTTTCTAGATAGTTGCTAGACACCGAACCGAGATACAGCACATTCGGTAGGGAACTCCTAGCTATGTATTGTGCTGTACGGCATTTCCAACATTATATCGAAGGCCGTGAATTCACTCTTTTCATGGACCATAAACCGCTCACTTTCTCGTTAAGCTCTCCTTCTGACAACTAATCTCCCTGTGAGTCTCGACAACTGGATTACATTTCGCGGTTTACTTCAGATATTCAACACATCTCTGGAGCAAACAATGTAGTCGCAGACGCTTTATCTCGCATAACTTCCCTGAACAGTTTCCAAGGAATCAACCTTCTTAAACTCGCCGAGCTTCAAAAAGAAGACACTGATCTTCAGCACGAGTTATCATCCACAACACTTAAACTACTCATCAAACAGATGGGAACAGGTAAGGAAACCTTAGTGTGTGACACATCTACAGGTAGGGATGGCCCAATCGTGTCAAAACATTATCGACGCAATGTCTTCAATACATTGCACAAACTTTCTCATCCAGGTTTTTGTGAAACCATCAAGCTTATAGCAGAACGGTTTTGCTGGCCTGGCATGAATAAAGACGAGAGGGGCTGGGCACGCTCCTGTGTAAGCTGCCAAAAATCTAAGGTCATCAGACACAACAAATTTCCCTTAGGCTCATTTAAAACTCCCGATGCTCGTTTCGACCATGTTCATTTGGACTTAGTAGGACCTTTACCAGATTCAAATAGATACTCTTATCTCTTAACCTGCGTAGACCGTTTCACTGGATGGCCAGAAGCAGTACCTATCAAGGACATCATTGCTGAAACAGTGGCTCGCACCTTCGTCGAACGATGGGTAGCAAACTTTGGCTGCCCTTCGACCATCACTACAGACCGTGGACGTCAGTTCGAATCTGAACTTTTCGGTTGTCTGACCACACTTTTAGGAATCACTCGATTCCGAATAACTGCCTACCACCCACAAGCAAACGGGTTGGTAGAGCGTTCTCACTGACAACTAAAAGCTTCATTGTCAGCTGCAAACGTTTCACAGTGGACCGACGCTCTTCCACTCGTCTTAATACGTATTCGCAATGCAGTCAAGGTTGACATTGGATACACTGCGGCTCAACTCGTATATGGAACGACACTTCGACTTCCAGGAGAATTCGTGGATCCTTCGTCCTCCTCAATGAACATGGATCTAACCTCCTACACGAACAGGCTTACAAACGCAATGCGTTCAGTTAAACCTGTTTCCACTCGACCGCAATCAACTGGTGTTTTAGTTAAACCTGACTTACGATATAGTACACACGTTTTCGTTCGTCGAGACTCGCATCGACGACCATTTGAGTCAGCATACGAAGGACCTTTCAAAGTTCTTCAACGCGAATCTAAGTACTTTAAACTCGATAAGAACGGAACAAACGATAGCATCAGCATCGATCGCTTAAAAGCAGCGTATTTAGAAAGAAATCCTATTCACGTCGACTTTCCTTCGGTACAATCGCGCAACACGACTCCTACACTCATAATACCGTAATCGACAGGCAACACACCCGATGATACTTTAATAGTATCAAAAAATAAACTTAAGACGACGCGTTCTGAATGAAGAGTTAAATTTCCAGAACATTTAAACGACTACTGCACGTAAGGCACTACTCGACATTTTATATTATCTCGATCTTTCTTTTTACGATATATAATATATTTTTTTAAAAACAATCTTAATATGCTCATATATTTTTATTTTTATTTCAAAAAAAT